CTGCCTGGCTGCCGGCCACCATCTTGGCTGGCAGTTAATTTGCATATCGCCCTGATTAGCCAATGGGAAGGGTAGCGGACGTATGCTAATTACCATGTTTCTCTTTTATTATATAGGATACAGAGGGATCATGGGTAGTTCCAGTAACTTCCATAGGACTTTATTAGAATTTAGTTGTTTATAAATATATTGGCTTTAAATTTAGCTAAAATTATATGAAACCTTGATTATAATTTAAAAATCTAACTTATAAAGTAATTAAAGTAGATATCTTTATTAAAACAGGCAAAGCAAGTAAATTTATATGTTTGATCCATGAGGTACAAATGCAGCCCCACCTCCAGACTATTTAAAATGCAGGTGGCTAGGAGTTTTTTGTCTTTTAAATTTCCGCTGCTGAAAAATTTGGCTGTATCTAAGAAATATACTGTCACTCTATTTTGCCCTTCCTAGAGGCCAAAACCCTCATAACATTTAAAATATATGTATATAAGTAAAATATAGTTATTACTTTTTATTTAATTAAAGCTTTCCATGCAATTTCAAGTATATTAGATTGACTAAATTTAAAATATTTCCTTTAAGAAGAGAGAACAAATTCTTTTTTGGAATCGATGTTTCTCTCTCATCAATGTTTCTAACTCTCTATCTCTCTCTCCTTTCCTCTCTGTAAAAAATCAATAAAATATATAAAAAAAAAAGAAAAAAAAAAAGGATAATAAACTTTTGAAAACATTTCAGGGCCCGTGAAATGTCCTAAAGTCATTCCTTGATTATAGTTTTGAAATCTAACTTAAAAGACTATTAAATATATATGTGTATTATATATTTAAAGATTATATACTTTTTATAATTTTCTTAAAGAACATCAATTAAATTTAAACTGATTTCTGTATTAAAAATTTAGTTGGGATTAAAATTAATCCTCCTTTTTAATTAGACCAATAAGTAACATATTTTGAATTCCTAATTATTTTAGAAAAGACACAAAAATTATTTTCTGAAAAATAAATTTCTATACTTTAGGCATTTAGTTACCACAACTATATAATGTCTCTCAATTTAATTTGAATTCTAAGAAGCTTCAAATTTCAGGTGGCAAGGTAAATACTCAGCATTTCTCAGATTAGCAATACATTTATATTTTAAGGATGTATTACCAATAAAATACAAGGCATATTCAA